TTAGGTGTCATTCGGGCCCGCATTTTCAGCTAGCGGAGTGTCTCATGATCTGAGTACACTTTGAAGTGGCGACCTATGAGATAATGGCGCCAATGGTCCAAAGCTTCCCAGAGAGCGAACAACTCTCTTTCATACGTGGAAGCGGCGACCTTCTCACTAGGTAATCGTCGGGACATAAACTCAACAGGTCTGTACCCATTCCTGTCATCCTGTTGGAGTACAACACCTATCTCGTACTGACTGGCGTCGATGGTAACAACAAAGGGCAAATAAGGATCAACAACCTTTAAGACTGGATAATTAATCAAGCATTTCTTTAAAAGTTTGAACGAAGATGTACAGTCTTGGTCCCACTTCCAGATTGTTTCTTTTTTCAACAGTCTGCGAAAGGGAGCAACAATTGTCATAAAATGTCTCATGAATTTACGATAGTAATTAGCCAACCCAAGGAATGACCGTAGTTCCGTTAAAGTGCGTGGGTTAGGCCAATCTCGAATAGTTGCAATCTTTGTGTCTTCCGGTTTGATATCGTCTCCATCAAGAACATGCCCCAAATACAATACCTGACGGTTTGCCCACTCACACTTTTTAGGGTTCAGTTTCATCTTTGCCTCACGCAATTTATTTAGCACAAGTCAAAGGTCCTCACAATGCTCATTTAGACTTTTACTAGAGATCAGGATATCGTCTAGATATATAACTACAAATTTATTGAGCCACTCACGAAATTGCTCATTCATTGTCCGTTGGAAGGTTGCAGGTGCGTTAGTAAGACCAAAGGGCAACACAATGAATTCAAAGTGCCCATACCTTGTACGAAAGGCAGTTTTATGCTGGTTTTCTGGTTTTACCTCAATTTGATGGTAACTGGACTTCAGATCAATCTTTGTGAAGCACTTGCAACCTCGAACTTTATCCAATAGATCATCGATTCTTGGTAATGGCTCAGCATTCTTAATAGTTATGTCATTTAATCTTCTATAATCAATACACATGCGGACCCCGTCATCTTTCTTTGGCACAAACAACACTGGCACACCATACGGTGAAGAGCTAGGCCTAATTCATCCCTTTTCCAGCATTTCATCTAACTGGGTTTTCAGTTCATCCAATTCTTTTGGTGACATTCTATAAATTGGGCCCTTTGGAATTTGACTTTCAGGTATAATATCGATGTGATGCTTAATGGGTCGTTCTACCACAACGCTCGGAGCCTCTATCACATCTGCGAATTCTTTCATAATTTTTCCGACTTTTGGGAGTTTTTCCTCCTCTCTAACTTCCCCTTCCTTTATTGGGCGCACATATGCCACAAACACTTGGTCAAACAGGTTATGTTTCTTTACGTGACGGGCGAACGCGAGGGCACTCATGCAACAATGAGTCAAGCTGCTTTCCTTACCAAATTCATGATACAGGCGACTTTTCTTCTTTCCACCCTGAGGACTAGGAAGCCAACACTCATGGTCTCTCAAGTTCACATCCGCATTTGCAGCTTCTCCCCAATCTGTACCTAAAAAAATGTCAAAAGGGAGACTGTCTTCCACCAAGAGAGTCAGAGAGTGGATAATGCGTTCCACCTTCCCCTCTGCTTCGAGGCGAAAGTATATCTGGATCCCCTCAACATATTTATCCATAACAATCTCACTGTTATTTGCTTACACACTCGTTATGGGCTCATCTAACTGCTTAACCTTTAGCCCAAGACGCAACTTTTGCAGACCTTTCTTACTAATATAGTTGCGTGTTGACCCACTGTCAATCATTCCACCTACTCTTACTTTATTGAATTTTAAATCTGCAATTATAAGTTGTCATTTTCGTTTCTTCATTTCGACCTAGGCTTTGCGACGAGTGGTCAACTCATCACCTATGCCTGCGAGGGATCCACCTAGATAGGTACACACACTAACTACCTCTGGACAACTGACTAGGTGGGGATCATTTACTTTTTCAATTTCTGCCATGGGAACATTCGAATGGGAGGATTTCAGTCTACTTGCATTCGAAGTTCCTGTAGAGGCAACTGAGACCCCTACTGGCTGATCCCTTTTGGTTGCTTGGGAACAATGTGGTCGGGGTCACCACATTTGAGGCAATGTCCGGCGGCCGTACTGTCTTGCCAAACTTTTTCTGTTATCCTCATCTTTTCCCAAGGTCTGCCTTCGGGCATGCCAGGATGGGGTGGATACAATCGATCTCAGTTTCTGTTCCAGTTTCCGATCCACGTGCCTCGTCCTCTTCCCCATGTGGAGTTGGGTCCTCGGCCACCTTGCGAGGGACCATTGCCCCTTCCACCCACGTAGTAGCTACCTTTGCTACCACCCCTCTGGGTGCCTGACCCTCTACCTCCATGACCGCGGCCTCCTCTTCCTCTACCACGGCCTCTTCCTTGTCGCCCTGCCCCGCGGGCTGCAACGGTCGTGTAGTCCCCTCCGTGAACTACCGGTCCGTTGTGCACATCTCCCTCTAGACCATAGTCTACTTGGTCGTATGAGAGAGTTTCGACAACTCTTTCTTCAAAGGTCAGAAGGAGGTTATCCTTTCTCGGTATGCTTCCCGAGATCGTGCGATTTTGCTACTTCTTCCCGGCTTGCAGGTCTTTCCAATAATGACAATAGTTTGCTTCCGCCAGGAAACCAGCATGATCTATCGCGATCTTACTAAATTTCTCGTATGTCATCCCCTCCTCCTTAGTACGAGGATATAGTTGAGTACGGAGAGGATCGAGCAGTGCCCTAGCAAAATTGTTGAGGATCTATGTTAGGGTGAGTCCATGTTCAGCGCATTGCAAGAGTTCGTCCATGGTTTTCTTGAGCGCAGACACACTTTTCCACTTCCGATCTGCAATGTTCACGATTAGCATTTCAGTTCTTCCGGCTAAGTTCTTGTCTTCACCAATACGGAATGCGTTGTCCATAAATGTAGGACTCCACGGCAACAATCCAATGCAACAGACTTTCCTCTTTTTTGCCGGTGTAAGTCCACTACACTTTCACTTTGATCTTTCTTACTTCCCCGACTTCTTCTTGCTGCACGCCCTTCTTTTTCTTGTCTCCATCTCCTCCATCTCCGTCTCCGTCTCCTCCACCTCCTCCACTCCCGCGTATTATTTTATCAATCACAGTGGGAGTAATGTTTTGCTGATCCGCTCATCTAACTTTTCAATGTAGGTTTGCATGTGTTGATCTACTTCATGAGCGGATTTCTGCAGGAAAGTGTTCCAGACTCCTTTAAACTCGATCCTATTTAATGCAGCCAGCTCCTGTTTGGTGTGAAGAACGGTTTCGGTCAAGAGGGCAAGTTGTACTTCAGTGGCCGTCTGCTTTTCTTTTTGGGCCTGCAATTCCCCTTGCAACCTTTCACCCTCTGTCTGCAATTTTTTTCTTTCTTCCAACTCTTGTCTTTTTGCTGCTAACATTTTGTTATGCAGTCCTGCTCGTTTTTCCTCTATCATAAGTTATTTCTCTTTCCTATTTCAATTGAAGCCAACTTTGCGATAAAGGTATCCCGTTCCTCATCTGTCTCTTCAACCCTTTCGGTTGAATAACTGTGCTGATCATACCAATTCAGGGGTTGTAATTGAATGGTCAACCCACTAGCCTCACTGATTTCACCTCTCTCACTCCGACGTCTAATGAGTCTGTCTCCTTCATCTTCAGGTTCATCTTCTTCCTCAATATTCTTCCTACAGTTCTTTTTCCATCTTTTCTTTCAACTTTTTTTTTATCCTTTCTTCCTCCACCTGAGTTTTCTTTTTCAATTCTTCTACCTTTTGTTTCTTGTTCAGTTCTTTTTCTTTTTTTTTTTCGGCCAGCGACGATCTATTTCAGCCTGTTCTGCAGCCGAAATCCCCTGCTTCACCTTTCCAGACCTCATCTCCATCATGTGGGAGGCGCATACCCTCCCGAAGCCAAGGGGAAAGAAGAAGCGGAACAGTGGCCCCAAAAGTAGAGAGAGCCACCATCCCGTACATGGAATAGTCATCCATGATGGAGGACGGCACAGGGGGGGCCTCCGCCGCACCACCAAGTAAGTACCCCAGATCCTAATCTATCTGAGTGGGGCAGTTACTTGGTGGTCCAGCGGAGGCCCCCCCTGTGTTGTCCTCCATCATGGATGACTATTCCATGTACGGGATGGTGGCTCTCTCTGTACTTCTAGGGCCACTGTTCCGCTTCTCCTTTCCCCTTGGCTTCGGGAGGGTATGCGCCTCCCACATGATGGAGATGAGGTCTGGAAAGGTGAAGCAGGGGATTTCGGCTACAGAACAGGCTGAAATAGATTGCCGCTGGCCGAGAAAAAGAAAGAAAAAGAACTGAAAAAGAAACAAACGGTAGAAGAATTGAAAAAGAAAACTCAGGTGGATACTTTCGTTTGCCTGGTTGGGTCACTTTTCAATCGCTGATTAGTGTAGGTAGCTGGGAGGTGCTGAAGCTATATTTCAGAACATATCAAATTCATCAGAATAGTCTTTGCTCACGAGCCACTTACACTCGTGGCAGACTGGCAGAACACAACTCCCACTCTAATCCGATCTTCACTTCTGCTCGGCAAACCAGATGACAACACTAAGACCAGATGTTTCTGACCGGATTCAGACTCTGACCGTCAGACCAGACCAGACCAAGGTGTTTCGTCCAGACAGCAGCAACGACCACCACAATGGAGGGGGGAAAAGATACACAACACACAGATTTACAATCAACAAGGTAAGTACCCCGTCCAGCTAACTTGGGAAACTGAGTTACGCAAGGAGAGGGGCGACGCCTCTCCTCACTCCGCCGGAACCGGTTGCCTTGCTAGCAACCGATATCACTACCGGGGAGCATGCGTTAGTCGCTGATTCTCGTGCTACGTACGAGGATTATGCCGCCCAGCTGGTGCCACCATTAGACCAGCCTAGCCACGTGCACTTAGATAGCGTATGCACAGCCTGTGCACCGTCGGCAAGTGAACCGGTCAGCTCGCCACTGAATTTCGAGGACTCGACGGCGTGGTCAAGACTTGAGGAGCTTGACCCGCTCACGAGAGAGGACTTCGCTTGGATGCCTCTACCCTCAACCGGAACCTTGCCAAGGCCGCATTGTAACGCCTTGATGGCAAATCTACGCTCCTATTTGCACGCTCCAATACCAGCTCCGTTGACGGACGACAGAGTAGCGGTTGTCGATCTCCGCTCCTATCTCGCGAAGATTGACCGCGAGTATGCCACCCAAAGGTACGCCGAGACCGATGCGCCTTTGCTCTATATCCGCATTCAAATCGGAAAGGCAACTTGCAGTGCCTTGATTGATTGCGGTGCATCTCGCAACTTCATGAGCCAAGCCTTTATGGCCCGCGCAGGCCTTGGCCCGCGCGTTCGAAGGAAGACGCAACCTACGCAAGTTACACTCGCGGACGGCCGCACGCAAAGGTCAATCGACCGATGCATTGACGGTGTCCCGATATACTTTGCGCCCCTTGCGTGCGAGCCGGTGTCTTTCGACATCCTCGACACCAAGTTTGACATGATTTTAGGCATGTCTTGGTTGCGTAGCACCGATCATCCGGTGAACTTCCATGACCGAACCGTTCACGTCCGTGATCGGAACGGAGTGTTAGTCCCATGTACGGTCGCGACCCCTCACACTTCGATTGCTTGTCACGTGGTTTCCGTTGCGAGGATTCGCGACGCCATAGCTCGGAATGACGTCGAGGAGATGGGCATTGTTTTCCTACATGCCCTCCCCTCGCCGAACGGACCAGCCGCGTCGCCGCCGGACCCACGTATTACCCACCTCTTAGATGGATATGGAGACGTCTTCGAGGCTCCCATCGGGACGATTCCGGATCGGCCCATACGTCACGGGATTACTCTCGAGGCGGGCGTCGTCCCTCCGCGTGGATGCATTTACCGCATGGGCGAAGAGGAACTCGAGGTGCTTCGCGTACAACTCGATGACCTTCTCGACAAGGGCTGGATTCGCCCTAGTTGTTCGCCATACGGTGTACCAGTTCTCTTCGTCCGGAAGAAGAACAAGGACCTACGACTGTGCATTGACTATCGAAAACTTAACGCACAAACCGTTAAGAACGCCGGCCCTCTCCCTCGGATTGATGATCTCCTCGAGCGGTTGGGCGGCGCGGCGTACTTCTTGAAGTTGGACTTGAAGTCGGGTTACCACCAGATTGAAATCCAGCCTCAAGATCGGTACAAGACCGCCTTCAAAACGTGGTATGGGCATTTTGAGTGGGTCGTAATGCCATTTGGACTCACCAATGCCCCGACAACTTTCCAAGCAGCCATGACAACGGAGTTCCGAGACTTGGTCGATTGTTCCGTCCTCATCTACCTCGATGATATCTTGGTCTATAGCAGGACGCTTGACGAGCACCTCGTACACCTTCGTGTGGTGTTGGATCGTTTGCGAGCAGCCAAGTACAAAGAAAACCACGACAAGTGCGAATTCGCCAAGCAAGAGTTTGAGTACTTGGGCCATTATGTGACGCCGAAAGGCATTCGTCCCTTAGCGGACAAGATCCAAGCCATCATGGATTGGCCGGAACCCCGTTGCACGACGGACGTACGCTCTTTCATGGGTTTGGCTGGATATTATCAGCGTTTCGTCAAATCTTACTCCAAAGTGGCAGCTCCTTTGTCGAGACTTCAGTCCTCGAAGGTACCATTCGAGTTCGACGACGCAGCTCGTGGCACGTTCAATACGTTGAAGGCAGCGATGCAAGACGCACCAGCCCTCCGTATCTATGATCCCACCCTACCCACCCAAGTGACTACGGATGCTTCCGGGTACGGTATTAGTGCGGTATTGGAACAATGCCACACGGATGGTTGGCACCTGGTCGAGTACTTCTCCCAAAAAGTGCCTCCCATCAACACTCTCGACGACGCTAGGAAGAAAGAGCTACTCGCATTCGTCACTGTTCTCAAATGATGGCGCCACTTTCTTCTTGGTCGTCGACGTTTTAGATGGAACACGGACAACAATCTGTTGACTTTCTACAAAACGCAGGACACGGACACTAGCACGATCGGCCAATGGATGTATTACATCGACCAGTTCGACTTTGCGCCGTGCCACATTCCCGGTCCCGCCAATCGAGCAGCGGACGCCCTCTCACGACGGCCTGATCTTTGTGCCCTTGTGACCACGACGTTCGACCTCGACGACGATCTGCAACAACATTTCGTCAACGGCTACAAGTCCGATCCGACGTACTCTACGCTCTATACGGACTTATCATCGGATCACCCGCCGGCCAATCATTACCGTATCTCCGACGGGTTCCTACTTCTCCACACGAGAGGGAAGGACTTGTTAGTGGTGCCCCAAGATCGCATCTTACGAACTCGTCTTCTCGGCGAATTCCATGATGCGCGACTTTTGGCACACCTTGGCGTGAACCGCACATTGGCTCGCCTCCGCCAGCGTTTTCACTAGCCCGATGTTCTTCACGACATCACGAGGTACATTGAGTCATGCGCAGTTTGCCATCGTAACAAAGGTCGATCTACGCTCCCTTATGGCGAACTGAAACCGATGTCGATTCCTCGGGCACCTCGCCTCTCCATTGCTATGGATGTTACAGGCCCGTTCCCCCGCAATCGCCTCGGTCATGACGGCATTCTCACGGTCGTTGACCGTTTGAGCAAGTACGCTCGTTTTCTTCCATGCAAGTATCGTGCTACAGCCCCCGAGCTCGCTCGACTCTTGCACACCGACTGGATTACATGCCACGGTGTTTCGGAAGATATTGTGAGCGACAGAGACACTCGCTTCATGTCTGCCTTTTGGACTTCCCTCATGACGGAGTCCGGTTCGACTATGAAGCCGAGTTCCGCACGGCACCCGCAGACGGATGGACAGTCGGAACGAGCGCATCAAACCGCTCAAATGATGTTACGTACACTCATCCGTCCTGACCAGAAAGACTAGGTTGACCGGCTTCCCGACATCGAGTTCGCCTATAACACTTCGGTGCACCCGACGATCTGCATCACTCCATTCGAGTTGCATCACGGTGGAGAGAAAGCTTGAGTCTTTGCCGATCCTCTTCTACCACGGGCCGCCGACATAGACGTCGCTTGCTCTCCCGCTTCCGTTCGAAAGTACCGGGACTTGCTGATCAAAGCCCGCGCAAACATGCAAAAGGCTCAAATCCGCATGCAGCAGCAAGCCATCCAACGTCGACTCCCATGTCCTTTCCGCGAGGGAGACCTTGTTTGGGTCCTCGCGGAGGAATTCGCGCTCGAGCAGGACGTCTCGCGCAAACTCCTCCCGAAATGGTTTGGACCATGGAAGGTAACTTCTGCAGCAGGCGACAACCCTGCAGGTCCTTCCTTTGTGATTGCCATCCCCCCACACCTCCGTGTGCACCCAGTCTTCCATGCGTCAAAGTTGGCCATCTACACGCCACCTTCCGAGGAGGAGTTCCCGGGCCGACGATCACAAGATCCGCCCTCTATGGACGAACACCAGGAAGTTGACCGTGTCATCAGGCACCACAAGTTTGGCAACAAGCCAATGCAATACCAAGTCACTTTCAAGCAATGTGACCCTGATGACACTCGTTGGATCTCCCGCGCGGACTTACAGGCATCTGCACCACTCATCTTCTCCGACTATGAGAACCGGAGACTTGCCAAGGACAAAGTTCGTCCCACCCGACCCACCCAGGTATCAGACAGACAACTTCGCCCTCGCACGTAGCTCGGTCTTTTAAGGGGGGGAGTGTGTTACAGTCTGCGACTTCACATGGGCCTTCATAGGCCCGACATACCGGTTTAGGGGTACCCAGGCCGGCCTCGCCAAAGGCCAGGCCTTTTCCTCCCGGTAGGCCCTGTTAGGCCACCGGTTGGGCCTCAGCGCCAGCAGACCCAGGTTTGACCCAAACGACAAACCGCTTGGGCCTGGCGGCGCTCTTGAGGCTGCCGCCTGCCGGTTTGGGCTGAACGGTCATTTCGCCGGTTCAGCCCATGGCGCAGGAGGCCAGCATTGAGGCCGACCGGCCGCCGGACGGTACTTAGGCCGGTCCAGCGGCCATTCAGTCCAGGTTGGAACGAGGAGCAGCCAGGAGAGTGCTGCGCTATTTTGTTGAGCACAGCGCTAGGGACTGCAGCGCTAGTTTAGCGCATTGCAGTCGAGGAGGAACGAGGAGGCGAGGAGGACTTATCTGCAACAGTGGAGCGCCATAGCTCCAGCGACCTGCATCCGGACTCCCGCCGCCGCCAAGACGCCAGCTTGCATCCGCAGGTTTGGTATGAGGCCCTCTCCATCTCCTCCTCTCCTCTCCATCTTCTTCTCTCCATCTCCATCTTCTTCTTCTTCAGACTTCTTCTTCTTCTTCTTCATACTTCTTCTTCTTCTTCTTCAGACTTCTTCTCCTTATTCTTCAGACTTCTTCTTCTTCTTCAGATTGGAGACTTGCTACGAGTTGGACAGAGATCAGTGTTGGACTTCGGTGGTAAGAGGCTGTGATACTTACCGGATTCGAGACTTGGAGATTGTTGGGATTGCTACTCGGCGGCATCACATATTGGACACCGGTTACATTAGGATTCTGTACCTCCGAAATTGGTGACTTATTGTTCCCGACATTTTGATCTTGTTCGATGACATTTTGGACTACCATATCGGTGACCTACTGGATTCTATCTCGGTGACATCTGGCACTGCCTACATCTCCC